AAAACAAACGCACGGTGTTATATGTAATAGAAAGGAAAGGGGAGGATGCAACATCGTGCGTTTGTTTATTTTTAAGAAAAATAATTCAATGTTCATTAGTTTAAAAGAATAAAGCGTTACGTGGTCATTTGATAAAAATCGCCTGAGGATAGCATAACGTTGAAACCAAGGTAGCGAAAGTATATGTGTATGGATATGTGGAAAAATATGACGCAACACGATCTTACTATTTGTATTTATCTTTGTCTCTAATGGATTTGAGTTGTTTTTAACTAAATTCGAATATGTCCGACATCTTGACATTTATTATTTTCTTTTAATTGGCTGCTTAATGCTGTTTTGCGGATTAAAAATGGTGACGAATATTAGCACGGCGGAAAATGAGATCACTAAACATATTTGGAATTCCGACAACGGCTGCGTGTTTCATATTCCGACTAAAGCATTTCATGAAATGCACGCCACTATTTATCCTAGCTCCCTGTTGCCAGAGGTCTAGTCACTAGCATGTCACTTGTATCAACAAATCTCATTTCAGGGTAAACACTTTATCTGTTGGTGATAACTAACAACACTGTAATACGAGTAAAAATATTTTTGAGCATTTTTGTGCAAGAACTGAAAAAAATTTCAAAATGAAAGCATATAAATATTTGGAGTATGGTGTGTGTGGTATGTATAATGTGTTGTTTTTGTTTCAAATGTTTTTTTTTTGTGTGTGTTGTTTTTATTTGTGTGTGTGTGTGTGTGTTGTTGTTTGTGTGTGTTTGTGTGTGTTGTTGTTTGTGTGTGTGTGTGTGTGTTGTTGTTTGTGTGTGTGTTGTGTGTGTTGTTGTTTGTGTGTGTGTGTGTGTGTTGTTGTTTGTGTGTGTGTGTTGTTGTTTGTGTGTGTGTGTGTTGTTGTTTGTGTGTGTTGTTGTTTTGTAAATTGTTTGTGTTGTGTGTTGTTGTGTGTGTGTGTTTTGTTTTGTTTCTTGTGTGTGTTGTTGTTGAATTTTGTGTGTGTGTGTGTTGTTGTTGTTGTTGTGTGTGTTGTTGTGTACGGTGTGTGTGTACTGTGTTGTTGTTGTTGTGTACGGTGTGTGATATGTTGTGTGTGTATCTATATGTGTGCAGTCCTGTAAAAAAAAAAATTGGGTGTGTCCATTATACATTAAATTGGGAGTTACTATTAAATTATCGTGTATGCATATAGCTCAAAATAAGGCAAAAACCTTTATGGAATTATCAGTTTTGTCTGTGAGTGCACCACGTAGTAGGCTGACATAAAGTCGTCGTCTTGCCTTCAATGAGCAAATGCAAAATATTTATATCCCTTCCTTACATAATCCTGGACAGAACGTCATCTAGCAGCGTTAAGTGTAGTCCGTTAGCAGACGAGATGAATTAATCCGTTACCAGTTTCATATCACTTTCAAATGAGTATCACCAAGTACCCCAGCATATACTACCATGATATCTTGAATCGCGAATCCCATTGACAACCACGCTGCTTACATCTTTTAAATCTATTAGCATAGAACCTGCCACTTAAAAACAAAAAAACTTAGTCGTTAAGTATAGTAAAACTTTGATAAATGTCTCACTTAAGAAGATGAGATATATATTGGTCGGTTAAATAATCCATTGTCACTTAAGTTTCAGTAAATCCTGTCAGCTCAAAAATAGAGTAAAAATTATACATAGAATAGGCGAAACACAGAGGCTTAGCTCGTGTGTGTACCGCCAGATGATGTAGTAGAATTTGTGGACCCCGCTGAAAGCTATTCCAAAATTGGAAAACAACATTATACGCTATTTTATTAAACTAATTTATCTAAATTCCCTCCACTCCGGCCAGTGACCAAAAAAAAATATTTATAGCGTTCTTTTCGATGAATAACGTCAAGCATTGCGAGCACGCACACACACACACACACACACACACACACACACACACATTTTTTTTCTTTTAGGATATTACATCGAAAAGATGTCAAAATCGCTACACAATTGGAGTCGTGTTTCGATGCGTTTCCAAACACGACTGCAATTGTGTAATGTGTTTGTAATATCCTAAAATAAAACAAAAATGTTGCTCTACTTTGTATTGAGCCCTCTTTTAAATTAAATGTTACGAGCGTTGGAATTGTACTTTATTATATATATATATATATATATATATATATATATATATATATATATATATATATATATATTGAACAATGAACAAAAAAATATTAAAAAATTAAAATCTTCAGACACACTGGGTTGTAGATTAATATTCTTTCGTTTTTTTTTATTATTTCATTTATATTCCTCGACTAGTTTCGGCCACAAAGGCCATCACCAGGGGAAGAAATATTTCTGCTTGCTGGTAGCAGTAAACTACAGAAATGAATGTCTTGATGGAAAAAATGACTTTTTGTCTGTAGTTTTCATTTGTTTTTTTTTTTTTTTTTTTTTTTTTAACATGAATTTTTAACATTCCTTGTGTTGGTCAAACAGTCTCTTTTAAGTTGTTATTTGAGATAAGAGCTGGATGGATCTATGCTTCTCTGAATTCCCCTGGTCAGTTTGACAGTTTTACTGGTCCTGGAGAGGGGATGTTTCTGTGTTTGTGTGTGTGTTATTGGTTCTTAGGGAGTGAGTCAGTATGATATGTATAAGCGTGTGTATTGCTGTGGGTGTGTGTTATCATTTGGCTCATTAGGGAGTGAGTGAGTATGATGTGTGTAAATGTGTATATTCATGTGGGTGTGTGTATAAGTGTGAGTCCTCAAAACCTCCGTAAGCATGTCTGTCTTGTGTGGGTGAGAAATGTGGGTAGGTTTTGATTTGTAGTGTTATATATTAGTACAATCTATATTGTTAAATTTATGGTTTAGTCCGGCTGGATAGTGTGTTTTTAGACGTTGTATCCACTTATTTTCATGGAACTCTAAAATCTTTCTAATGGTATCTGCTCTGAACTTTATATATAAACTTATCTATAGTAATTAGCGTCGTCGAAGGCGCAACCCTTTTTGTCCCATTTGACTACGAAAACGATTTGGGCTTAAGATGCACAATAAGTTACGAAACTTTATTTCATGGAAAAAAACTGCCAGATTAACCCAACAGCAAAAGTAGGAAAAGCTATGGGCCCAACATTTTCGAGGTCCCGCAATAAATACTTCTGACCTGATTGGTAAAATACTGCAGAATTTGTATTTACATATCTAGGAATTGCATTTTGAATTAATCATCGTTTCAGTTAACATCAGATCAAAGCCGTTAAATCGAGAGTTGAGTAGATTTGACGGCTTCGATTTCGCCTCATATTTTTCTGTTTGTTGCTAGAAGTCAAATAGTTACCGGTTTTATAAGCTCCATCACTAAGCCAGAAAACAATTTATAATTTAATATTTATGTGCATACTGTCTTTTTATTTGTGGCCACTTTCTATTTGCTACGGGTCCCAAATTAGATAAATACGAACCTTAAGATCTTAGAAAATTGAGGAAAGTTATACAACTTGTTAGTTTATACTTATTTTATGGAATTAACACATTAATTCCATCTACATTTTACGCGCGTGCGAGTTTTGGCGTCTCGAACGAACAGCGTTTGCAAGCCAGTTGCCTCCCGACTTTCGACCTAACTAGACGGGCAACTCATTTATTCCGTGCCCTTAACCCATATGCGGGCCGGAATATCTTATCTCAACAATGTCGACCTCACACTGTACCAAGACTTCTTCTCGTCTTGAAGCTGCCCGCAGGTCAGACCTTCTCCGTTTTCGACCAGAAGACGTTCGAGACACACGACACAGTCGTGAGCAAAATTTCGTATTCAACAAGTGGCTTATTTTTATCCCTCGTCAGTCAATCTTAAATACAGACAGGGATATCTTACTGACGAACAGATATCCTTCGTCCCTTCTGGACTCGCCATAAGTAACTTCACTAAGACGATGCAACCAACTGCAAATAACTCTTCGACCTTTGGCTGGGAACGTCCACAGCAATCCGTTAAAATTTTCAACAGTTAATTCAAGACCTGACCAAACTCTGAGACGACTGAATTTTCTCTACCTTGAACCTGAACATAAAAAAAGATAAAAAACTCAAAAAATCACACACACACTTACAACTGAAAAATCCACAGTGAGTACTCCTTTTATCTGTGCGCACCTACACCTCTGTTAACGAGTTCCTTTTTCCAGAACCTTATAAAACTCTTTTTTGCCTTGTTCATCTTGCTTTCCTATTTTGGCGCGAAAATTTTCTTTGATCTCGTACCACGAGATACCTACTTGTTTTTCCATTTAATAAAAAATTACACATGTTTTTTGCATCCAGACTTTTTTGTCATTTTATTCCGGCTATCTCTTTGATGTTTATAATTTATGCACTTGTTGATTGACCCCTTTCCTCTCACTGTTCATTTACGCATTCATTTTTTATATACATTGTTTGTGGACTCGGTAGTTTAGTGTGGTGTCTGGCTCAAGGCCACTTTTAATAAACCAGCACTGCACGCTGCCGGGTCTGCAACAATTTCATCCTCTTATCATTTCCGCTGTCGGTCCCTTGATACTTACATCTAAAACTCGTTTTTTTTTTCTGTTATAGCTTCGTCTCTTGACTTAAAACAAGAATAACCGGAATTTTTTGGACTGCGTTATAACCCTTGATTATTTTGTCACTCAAAAATTATCTCTATATACGGCTTTCAAGAACTGTTATTATTTGAATTTATGAAAGCTTTCTTCATTCAGAACATGAATTCTTTATCGGGAGTTAGGAAAAATAATTATTTACCCGATTTCTGTGTCCATCTCTCTCCCCTTTTTTTTATGAACGTTCTTTTGTTAATTTCCTTTCATCCATTCATTCTCTTTCTGTCTTGATTGATCTGATAGTTTCAGTATCTCCTTTTCATGGTATATAAAACGAAATGCTATTTTAAAATATTCAAATGCAATCAGCTTAATTATAGTTATCTTGAGGATCCTTCTGGATAAGTGTGCTGTGCGC